CAAGTCTAGCCTCTAAGGTTACCAGTTTACTCATGTTTCAACCCTAGCTTAATTCATTGTTTTGTATGTTTTGAACATTCTGCCATGTCTTCATAATTGAAGTGTTTTAATGAAAATATTTCTTATCTAGCAGAGAAGTGATATGATTCTATGAGCATATAAGCAACTAAGTATTTCCTGTGTTTATAATAGACCAAGAAGGAATGAGTGATATACCTGAAACTGAAGAGACTGGAAGACCTTGTGATTCATGGCAGAGTGACCTGTGGGCACAAGTGAAAGACAAGTTAATGAAATATTTGCATCACAGCACAATTTTCCCAGAAAGCATCCCACGTAAATTTGATTATGTGCACAAAGAGTTACTTATGCAACAGTACAACCTTCATGCAGCAGTGCACCAGCCAAAAGGAACCAGAACAGATAAAGATATCAATGAGTTTAAAAGTGCTAGTGGCCTTGGGTATTATGAAGTGACAGTTCTGGGTAAGTATTTGGTAGCTTGGCTTCTAAAAAAGGTTAAACAAGAGCAGTATAAGATCTTAGCTCTTTGCTGCGTTAAATTAAGAATGGCTTGAAGGTTTGTCAGAAACTGAATGGATTTCTCTAAATCAATTAGTTGATTTTGAGTATTTCTTGAAGTTTAAAAAAATGATTGACGTTGTAGATTTTTGTTAGAGTCATGATTTAGGATAATTTTGTACTGGAAAGCTGTAATTCTCATTAAGAATACCTTTAAATGAAATGACTGAACATCTTGTTTCTAATATCACTTTTCATATAATTGCAATTTTGTGTATAGGTTTATGTGTATCATTTGAAGAATGTGTGTAGTCCTTAAGCTATTGATTATTACAATTAGAGGTAGGTCCCATTCACTAGTTCAGCCAGTCTGACATAATCAGGTAAATTATTCAATTGCACTTGATTGTCAGCTGACTTTCCTGCCAGAGGGGTATTAATCAGAAACAAGTTAGTGTTCTTAAAGGGAAAAGGACAACTATAAATGCTTCTTCTGAGCTTTATTCTCACTGAGTTGTTTTTTGAGTACTGTTGCTCCTGAAGTGCCTTTCTTCCACACTAGGAAACTAAGGGCTGTATTTTAGCCCTGCTCATCAACTGCTCTCTGCTGCTTCTGGTTAGCACAAAGCATCAGTTGATTGATCTTTATTTGTTAAAATATAAATATGCATGATGTGTATCTGTTTGTTAGCATTACTGTGGGACATTAATCTGTTTGATTTTGTTTTCCCATCAAAAGGAGAAGGAAATTGCCTAGCTTAACAATGCTCATGTTAAGTTCCCATAATTTAAAAGTTTCCATTATTTGCTAAAGGAGATTTGCAGAGAAGGCGTTTGCATATTTACAGTCATTAGAATCCTGGGACTTACAATATAATATTCAAGATGAAGGTAGCACAAGTACTGCACCGCATGCTGCATAGATACACTGGTTGTAAAATTAATTTCTCTGCCCTTGTAGCAGCGATAAAGTTAAAAATGAGTGTGAAATGGCTTCCAATGTTGGTTTAATATTTTCTGAGCTAACAGCATTGTTAGCCTTAAATCATAGTACGTTATAGCATCATATCAATTTGAATGTGCTTATGTATAAATACATATACATAGATATATTGAAATGTATTTTTAGATGTCAGTTATTAATTAATGGACAAAGAGCAAGTAAATAAAAATCAGTGTTCAGCCTGCATAGTTTGGTCTTTAAATAAAAAGAAGAAATGGTGCATGAAGTTGCTAATGGGCTGAAGATGAAGGTTTCTGCTAACTTAAATATTTTTTTTTTCAACAGGTGTAAACCATGATGTGGCAATAGATGTTGCATTTCTGCCACTGTTTTGTCCTGAAGATCCCCACTTATTTCAACTAGAAGACATTCAAAATGATACATTACTGTCTTGTATGAGTTGCATCTCTGCATGTCAGCAGAAGGCTGCTAGCAATGGAAGGCTTCATGACATGTTTCCACTTTCAAGTGAGACTGGCTTTCACTGATGTTACTCATTTATCGTTTCTTGGTTTATCTTTCAATGCAAGAGTTAATCCTCTATAGAAGTCTCTGTTGTAGGTCAGACATTGTTCCCCTTTCCAGTGAAAGATATGTGAATTCTGTGTGACCACCTTTAGTAAATAGATGCAATACTGAACTTTCAAGGCAGTTTTTACTGAAGCTGTTCTCATACTCTGAAGATAGTATTTTAATATCCAAACCACAGCCTCCTAAGTGACCTAGATAGCATTTGCATTTATTTTTTGATGCAAAATTATACTGACATAGAAGTCGGTACGTGTGGCTGAGCATGTGAGTATTTGGCGTGATCTGCTTTGACACAGAGTGGAATAACCATCAATCAGTCAGCCCGTTTCACTGATGTCACTTTGAACAGCTGCTTTAACGCAACCTACAGTGCCTATAAACTGAAGTATTTGCCTGCTATTGAATTATTTTCCTTCAGATTATGCTTCTAATTACTGGCACCTCACAAATGTGGTGAACACTATTAATGTGTATCATACTGCAAAGTGCTGTATAAGCATCATGTTTTCCTGCATGTTTATATAGACAGATTTGATTTTACTTAAATACATCTTTACTTTTCCTTGAATAGTACTATGAAATCAGAGAATCACTAATGGTTAAGTAATGCATATTTCAGCTTTTCCATATCTAAGTTCTGGTGCTGCCATTTCTAGTGATTGAATTTGCTAATAAAATTCTACCAAAAAAACCGAAAATCCCAGTAAGCCAGCATTTAATAGTTAGAGTGAGGTTTTTCACTGAAAGAAGGTTGAACATATACACATTATTGCACGCAGAACAATGTCGATTCAGTATACCTTTTTATTGTATGTATATTAAAACACCTTTTCTTAACTTCTAGACGAAATTGTAAAAGCGGCGATGGATCTAGATGGCAAACATGTTGTCTGCATCTTGGACATCTGTCACTTGGGTGATGATAAGGTGGAAGTCTTTCTGAGCAAAATCTACAAGACAGTGGAACCTGATGTTCTAGATCCAGTGTAATTTAATAACTTATTTTTCAAATTTATATTGTTTAAAAGGAGGGAAATAAAATTGCTGGAACTTGAATACACCCTCTACACATTGCACTTTTGTAGAACTAGCAGACATGAACATAAAATTACAATTCTTAGAGCAATTGTAATGGTCATCCATGTAAGTGAGAAGGACGATTGTTGCCTTTATTTTTGGCAGTCTTGAACAGATTACAATGTCTTGGTCACTTATGTTCAAGAAGTATGAATAGGCAATACAGTGAGCTTATCTTTTGATAGGATACCAAGGAGTATAAGTATCATTGTCATCTTTCTCTGCCTGTGCACCTACATACACAGGAAATGTATATATCACGGTGAGAACTGAGAAGAGAGGCAGGCTTTCCCAATATTAAAGGCAATGTCTGCAAAAGAATTAACTGGCTGTGATGTAAATTTAGGCTGGAAATTAGAATAATTTTTAGGATTAGAGCTGTTATGTTCTATAGTGATCTTTTAGTGGGAGGTACTGGGGTCAGCCTAACTGCTCTTCAGGCTTGAAGCTTACTGTGTTTGTGAAAGGGATTAAATATCATGGTGTCTTTAGTACCGGTGACTGGACTCAGTGATCCAAGAAGCCACTTCCAGTTCTTTTTTACCTGAGCATGGTCAGCTGCTGTGTTTTTATTTGTCTGCTTTTGTATATACAGCGTTGGGTAGTGAGTTTGGCACCCAAAGGGTTTTAACATATTTTATTTATTAATAAAAAAATAATGAAGTATTTAATAAAAGAAACTTTGTTAGTGGAACTTGCTTCTAGCTTTGCAAGAGCAAAACTGTCTTTAAGGAGTGCTTAGCATGGCAGGATACAGAGTTTGTCACACCATTAGTTTTTTTCCTGTTGTTCACCAGTATCCTTTCTTTTTAGTAATAGCTGTATTCCGAGTACATGAAGGAGCTCAGCAGCTGCAAGAAGCTGCTACTTCCACAAGAGCAAGAGACTCTGTAAAATTCTGTCAACTTTATAGTTGTATACTAAGTAGCAGCTGGCTCCTGCTGAGTTCAGAACCAAGTCCCACATTTTCCTCCCCTGTCGAACAGCCTCAAATCACTTATACAACTGGATCCTTAAGAAATTATTCTCAAGCAGGAGCTAAAGCACATTGCTGTTTGACAACTTGTCTATGTGAAATGCTGGTCTCAGTTCAATCCTTTGAGAAGAAATGATTGCATTATGGAAGCTTGCCAGTTGAATTGTACTGTTATTGACCAAAGCCCACAAAGTTAATTTATAGGAACGGATTTATTCTTTTGTGGAAAACTTCTAGGCACATTTTGGCGGACTGTTGGTAACTGGGGAGTATCTCTTTCAACTAGTAGCTCACTTGTCTGCCCTGGGGACAGTGGACTTTGTCTTCAAGTACTTAAATTCTCTGCCATAACTTCAGTTAATGATAACTGAAGGAGAAATGTAACTGTCTTTATTATAGTACAAGTTCGTAGGCAACTTCAGATAAGAAGCCTTAACATGCTAAAGAAATTCATTAAATTATTCTGTCTCTCTAGTGTGGTTTACAGTTTAAAAATGTATTGATGAGAAAAGTTTAACTTAACTTTTAGTCCCCGTGCAATTTAATTAAATGTGACTATGTATTGTATGTTTATATTTTGTATTGATCATATAGTATTAGTTCTAGAGCAATGTTTGTCAACCCATGCCTTTCAGAGTACATTGTAACCTTGTCACAGAAGGCAAAATGAAAACACACCAACTGGAGAAGAGCACGGTGTTGCTTGCAATATGTTAGTTCTGTAATTTTGTTGCTTATGGGTATGTGAAGATGAGAGGCCATTGCTCTAGAGTGAGAGGGATTAGCACCAGCACTTCGTGTACCAAACTGAGCCACGCTGACTGTGTCAGCCAGTATTTTTTATTTAGATATACTTCAAGTCGAAGTCTAATTTTAATGACACCATTATTTCTAGAAGCAATTTTTAAAGTAATTACCTTTGTACAAAAGGACTGATGTGGCTAACGCTGTCACAGAGCCACTCGATTCAATTGTTCTAGCCATTCCATCCATCCATCCCATGGAGCAGAAAGGCAGCAAAGGCTGTTTGCCACATTGCACTGCTTATGACACTTTAAACATGTAGCATTAATCATTTCATCCTCCATGTTAGGACTTCCTAACTCTAAAAGAAATCTCAGAATGGTGTGAAATATGTATAATATGTGCTTGAGACTTTAAAGTATATAATTTTATTTTACAGAAGTGGTGTTTGAAATTTTTCATGGCAAAAGCTGGGAAGGAGAGAGATTTACTCTTGCGGAATGAAGTGCCAATGTTAGAAGTACAGGCTCTCTGTGTGCGGCTAGAGAATATTTGATGCCTGTAGTAGACTTGGAATTTCAATACTCTGGGTCATTCTGTAGAGGCACTTTCCCCATCCCCCTAAGCTACACTGAACTTAATATGCCGACTTCAGTTTCTGAGGTGTTGCGATGTTAATACATGGTTCCACCACTTTGTCTCTCTCCTCCCTGTCAGACCAGCACTGTAACACCAGGGAGAAGGTCCTCTGCAAAGAAACTACTTGCTGTTTTATTTCACTTGGTGTTTGTTGACACAAGTATAAAACCAAAGTATTTTTGATCCGGAGTCTGTCAAAACATGTTAATTTTGCCATGTTAAACCAAGAAACAGAATCTTTACTCCTGCAAAATGTCATAGGAATAATCTTTCTTGCTGCTGTGTATTGCTGCTGCTGAGGTAAAATATTATCAGAGCACATTCCCTAACTGTAGAATTCGTACCAAACCAAAGAGTTGTATTCTACAGTCTTACATTTGCATGTTTCTTATGTTTCCAGCATTAATTTCAAAGAAAATCAGAAGGTAAACTGTATGTAGCTAATGGTACTTTTGAGTGTATAAAACTTGCTAAGTCATAGATCTTAGAGGTTAAGATCAGTTTTGAATTAATGTGCTGTAGAACTAGTGCAACACTGAAAAGTGGAGAATATAAATAAATGAATTAATATATGTAAATGTCTTGGATTATTTCTTTCAATTTCTTTCCATGTTCTTTTCGCTTCTGAAAACTGTTTCAGTTTTCCAAGAATCTTGTCCACAGTCATGCTCATTCTTTTAAAGAATCTTTACAGGAGAACTAGGTCGAGCTTCTGTCAATATATATGCCACCAGTTGCAGCTTGTCTTGGCTTTCAACACTGTGCAGCGTGACTTCTGCAGAAAAATGGGAAAAAGGTCTTGATGACTTTATCTTAGACTAAGATAACAAGTCATTCCCCGCATTTCTCCTTTGGACTCCCTCCAATTTTGACCTCTTTAACAAGGTCATTACATCACAGATTGCATTGTGAAGTGAGAACCCTGAGCTTACGTCACTGAATGAAAGATGACCTCGTCCTCTGAAGTGGTGTTCAGGTTGAGATAGGAGCAGGGGGCTTGAGCACCATCGAAGCTGGAATTTGTGCAGTAAAGGGAGAGAAGGAGGGGGAGAATGACGCTTTGTGAAAAAGGAGGAGAAAGTTAGGGCTGAAGGTTGCTTGCAGGCCCCTCGGTCTGCATCTCTACCTCACAATAGGCAGGTGTGTCGCTTGTGTCGCGTCCCAGCCCCCGCTCCAGATGAGCTCACCGACAGGTCCAGGCCGTACCTGGGTGGTGTCAAGTTCCTGTTGGAACTGAAATTTCAAACTTATCAGCAGGCTGTGGGCTAACAGCCACCGCCAGCTGAAAATAGCTGTAGACATCTACATTTTGTGCTTAGATGAATAAGCAATGAAGGAAGTAGATAAGTTCAGTTTTTTCTGCCTTCTGGTGGTTATTAGTATTTTATTCAAGACTACAGGGGCGTTTTCTGTGAGCGCCTCTGTGAGTTTATTCTATTTCAACAGCGCTAGCAACAGGTCTGCGTCTGAGCAGTGCGAATGTGGCCTGTATGGATTAAATTCTCCTCTGCTTAGTGCTCAGGGGCTTGTGGCCATTCCTAAATCTGCTAATCGTCAAGCCTGTGATGCAAATACCCAGTTCAGCATCACAAACCCACCATGGATAGCTCTGATTGAAAGAGGCAATTGCAGTTTTGCTGAAAAAATTAAGGTGGCAGCCAGAAGGGGTGCAACAGCAGCTGTGATCTACAATGCACCGGTGAAAGGCAACGACACCGCCCTGATGTTGCATCTCGGTGAGTAGCACGGCGTGAAGCGCTGAAACCTGGTCGTTCCTCTGAAGTTTGGTCCAGCCGGGCTATATGGAAGCAGTTGTGTTTGTGGATGATTGTTGCTTTAATCAAGAAATTCATTGGGAAAAAAAAATTATGCAATTTGAGTCTTGACTTCGGTGCTTAGTAAGCGATACTCTGCTGCTACGTTCTGAGCTTGGTACAGTGTAGCCAAACTGGTGAGTCTCTGAAGTTAGTACCATTTTTTACTTGTACAGCATGCAAATTATTTTAGACAGTGATGTAGAGAAACCCATAGTGTCTGCTTTGAAGGCACTACTTTATTTTTCGAGGTTAGAGGACACAAATGAACGTACAAGTGTCTGCAGCATAGGTATATGCTTTGCAGATTGCAAGCCAGATCTTGCTTTTTTTTTTTTCCCTCCCCTAAACCGTTCTAATCCTTTCTGAATAGCGGCTGCTCTTAGCCTTTTCTGGGATCCCCTAATTCCTTAATGAAAGGTTAGACAAAATGATCGTAATTGCCCATTCCGACCCTAGTAGCTATGGATCTGTCATTAGGGAAGAACCGAGAAGCTAAGTGTGATACTGTATTGCTTGGGTTTTATTTCTGCATGTGTTCCTCTAGGTCAACCTGTCTAATAAGCATTTTAGTACAAAGCATACATACACGTAGCTAATTCTGTGAAATACGCTTTGGTGGAGCTGCACCAGGAATCCTTTAGCTTAAGTCTTGCTTGTCTGATTTTGTGAGCAAACTGAGTGATTTTTAATCCGGAGACGAGCCAGCATTTTACAGATCACATCCCTGTGCTGGTTTGGGTTGCCACTTCAGGAAGTTTCTGTGGAGCCCACGCCTGGGCAGTTCACAGGAGTCGGCCGACACCAGCTTTGAGCAGGCTGGCTCGGAGTCTCGGTTATGCACCTGTAGGTGCATCACAGCTGCTTTGCAAACCTAACCATCGCGTGAGGCTCAGCTCCAAAAACAAACAAACAAAAGCATCCTAAAGAAGGTATTGCAACGCAATAAAAAAATGCGCTGTATGGCACTGAAAGTGCAGGGACGTGTACTACACAGCCAGCCTTGACTCTCCTGGTACCATGATAGAGCTGGTGTTTGCAAATGGAGCTTAAATGTTTTACTAGAAATATGTAGCCAACAAACAAAAGCTTTTATTCTACCTCTGGAGAAAGTGATTTAGACTTCAGTGGCCGGCATGTCAAGATTCAGATTAGGTTGCTTTTTTTATTTGGTTTTGGAGCATGCCAGCTCATGCTAACACCGGATGAATAAAGAAAGAATTGTACTGGCTCTGTGTACTGCAAAATCGGTGCCAGCTGCGTTTCTTGTGAGCGGCGGTGGCCCCGGTGGCCCAAGGCGTGAGCACGGCGGGAGCAGGGTGGCCCGTTGCCCCAGAGGTCAGCGGATGAGAATGGGATGGAACCTTGTTTGGACACACTGGGTAAACTGGGATGTCACAAACCCAACAGTTAGACTAGACTCCAGAAATAAGATAATTATTTAGGACAAGCTCTGAAAGCAGACCCTAATTTTTCAGATGCTTTTTTTTTTTCCTAAAACTAAAAAGATTTTTTAAATGTTGAAAGCAACAGATATGTCACCCGAGAGTTTATTTCATGAGACATGAAGTCCCATCTTTCTGAATTTAATTCATTTAGTTTCTCAAAGACAAACTGTGATTTTTATAGGACTATTTCCTATAGTTGTCCTATAGGAATAAAGCGGATATGACAACCTATTTGGTGGCAAAGAGGGTTTATAAATCAGTCCAGTAGTCACGTGTGTTAAACACAGCGAAGGCAAAATACTTCAGTGAGATGAGCGCTTCGTCTAATCAGTATAGGAGAAGCATCTTCTCGCTCTATTTGTTTCCCTCGGTGCAAAGCGTGGAGCCATACGTTCTTTAGGTAAAACAGAAAAAGCCTGGGAGAGGGGTGGTGGTTGCAGCACAGTGCTTAGGGCAAAGGGTTCACAGGGCTGGGGAAGGAAATCTCCCGTTTGCCTGGAATGTCCCAACGGCAGCATCGCCCGGAGAGGTCTGGGGAGTCTTGGGGATTAATCCCCATTTGGGTAGGGGCCCTTTGGAGGTGAAATGCCTTGCTGGCAGAGCAGGGAGAGAAAAATCTGCCCTGCTGCTGCCAGCGATGGGCGAGCTCCTGACTGAGCAAGGAGCGGCAGCCGCCGGGATCATCGGCCGGCTCTCGGCTGGGGCCAGCCCGGACATCCTCAGTCTTCCGTCCCCATTGCTCGGCCGCTGTGCGGGGCTACAGAAATCCCGTCGCCCTGGCTATCTATTAGGCCTTGGAGCCTT